GGTGGAAAGGACTCTGCATGCACTCTGACAGACAGGTGAAGGTGGAAGGGATGGTGCCTGCACTCTGACGGATGGGGGGAGGTGGGAGGGATGGAGCCAGCACTCTGAAGGATGGGGGGAGGTGGGAGGGATGGAGCCTGCACTCTGAAGGACGGGTGAAGGTGGGAAGGACGGTGCATGCACTCTGAATGACGGATGAAGGTGGGAAGGACGGTGCCTGCACTCTGAAGGACGGGCGGGTGGGGGTGGGAGGGACGGTTTCTGCACTCTGAAGGACGGGTGGAGGTGGGAGGGACGGTGCCTGCACTCTGAAGGACGGGTGGAGGTGGGAGGGACGGTGCCTGTACTCTGAAGGACGGGTGAAGGTGGGAAGGACGGTGCCTGCACTCTGACGGACAGGTGAAGGTGGAAAGGACGGTGCCTGCACTCTGATGGACAGGTGAAGGTTGGGAAGGACGGTGAGTGCACTTTGATGGACAGGTGAAGTGGGAAGGACGGTGCCTGCACTCTGAAGGACGGTTGACGGTGGAAAGGACGGTGCCTGCACTCTGAAGGACGGGTGGAAGTGGGAGGGACGGTGCCTGTACTCTGAAGGACGGGTGGAAGTGGGAGGGACGGTGCTGCACTCTGACGGACAGGTGAAGGTGGAAAGGACGGTGCCTGCACTCTGATGGACAGGTGAAGGTATGAAGGACGGTTTCCTGCATTGAAGGAAAGGGTTTAAGGGGAAAGGACGGTGCCTGCACTCTGAAGGGACGGTGGAGGTGGGAAGGGGCGGTGCCTGCACTCTGCGGACAAGTGAAGGTGGGAGAGACAGTGCCTGCACTCTGAAGGACGGGTGGAGATGGGAGGGACTGTGCCTGCACTCTGACGGACAGGTGAAGGTGGGAAGGACGGAGCCTGCACTCTGACGGACAAGTGAAGGTGGGAGAGACAGTGCCTGCACTCTGAAGGATGGGTGGAGATGGGAGGGACTGTGCCTGCACTCTGACGGACAGGTGAAGGTGGGAAGGACGGTGCCTGCACTCTGAAGGACGGGTGGAGGTGCGAGGGGCGGTGCCTGCACTCTGAAGGACGGGTGGAGGTGGGAGGGACGGTGCCTGCACTCTGAAGGACGGGTGGAGGTGGGAGGGACGGTGCCTGTACTCTGAAGGACGGGTGGAGGTGGGAAGGAGGGTGCCTGCACTCTGAAGGACGGGTGGAGGTGCGAAGAACGGTGCCTGCACTCTAAAGGACGGGTGAAGGTGGGAAGGACGGTGCCTGCACTCTGAAGGACGGGTGGAGGTGGGAAGGACGGTGCCTGCACTCTGAAGGACGGGTGGAGGTGAGAACGAGGGTGCCTGCACTCTGAAGAACGGGTGTAGGTGGGAAGGACGGTGCCTGCACTCTGAAGGACGGGTGGAGGTGGGAGAACGGTTTCTGCACTCTAAAGGGACGGGGGAAGGTGGGAGGGGGCGGTACCCGCATCTGAAGGAGGGTGGAGGTGGGGAAAGGGCGGTGCTGCACTCTGAAGGACGGGTGGAGGGTGAGAACGAGGGTTTCCTGCACTCTGAAGAACGGCTGTTTGGTGGGAAGGGGCGGTGCCTGCACTTGACGGACAGGTGAAGGTGGGAGGGACGGTGCCTGCACTCTGAAGGACGGATGGAGGTTGGGGAAGGACGGTCTGCACTCTGAAGGACGGGTGGAGGTGGGAAGGAGGGTGCCTGCACTCTGAAGGACGGGTGGAAGTGGAGGGACGGTGCCTGCACTCTGAAGGACGGGTGGAGGTGGGAAGGACGGTGCCTGCATTTGAAGGACGGGTGAAGGTGGGAGGGACGGTGCCTGCCTCTGAAGGCGGTGTGAAGGTGGGAAGGAGGGTTTCCTGCACTTGACGGACGGGTGGGAGGTGGGAAGGACGGTGGCCGCACTCTGAAGGACGGGTGGAGGTGGGAAGGACGGTGCCTGCACTCTGACGGACAGGTGAAGGTGGGAAGGACGGTGCTGCACTCTGAAGGAGGGTGGAGGGGGAAGGACGGTGCCTGCACTCTGACGGACGGGTGTAGGTGGGAAGGACGGTGCCTGCACTCTGACGGACGGGTGAAGGTGGGAATGATGGTGCCTGCACTCTGACGGACGGGTGAAGGTGGGAATGACGGTGCCTGCACTCTGAAGGACGGGTGTAGGTGGGAAGGACGGTGCCTGCACTCTGACGGACGGGTGAAGGTGGGAAGGACGGTGCCTGCACTCTGAAGGACGGGTGGAGGTGGGAAGGACGGTGCCTGCACTCTGACGGACGGGTGAAGGTGGGAAGGACGGTGCCTGCACTCTGAAGGACGGGTGGAGGTGGGAAGGACGGTGCCTGCACTCTGAAGGACGGGTGGAGGTGGGAAGGACGGTGCCTGCACTCTGACGGACGGGTGTAGGTGGGAAGGACGGTGCCTGGACTCTGAAGGACGGGTGGAGGTGGAAGGACGGTGCCCGCACTCTGAAGGACGGGTGAAAGGGGGGAAGGACGGTGCCTGCACTCTGACGGACGGGTGGAGGTGGGAAGGACGGTGCCTGCACTCTGAAGGACGGGTGTAGGTGGGAAGGACGGTGCCTGCACTCTGACGGACGGGTGGAGGTGGGAAGGACGGTGCCTGCACTCTGAAGGACGGGTGGAGGTGGGAAGGACGGAGCCTGCACTCTGAAGGACGGGTGTAGGTGGGATGGACGGTGCCTGCACTCTGACGGACGGGTGAAGGTGGGGGGACGGTGCTGCATCTGAATGAGGGTGTAGGTGGGAAGGACGGTACCTGCACTTGCGGGGGGGTGAAGGTGGGAAGGGACGGTGCCTGCACTCTGAAGGATGGGTGGAGGTGGGAAGGACGGTACCTGCACTCTGACGGACGGGTGAAGGTGGGAAGGACGGTGCCTGCACTCTGAAGGATGGGTGGAGGTGGGAAGGACGGTACCTGCACTCTGACGGACGGGTGAAGGTGGGAAGGACGGTGCCTGCACTCTGAAGGATGGGTGTAGGTGGGAAGGACGGTACTGCACTCTGACGGACGGTGAAGGTGGGAAAGGGCGCTGCCCGCACTCTGAAGGATGGGTGGAGGTGGGAAGGACGGTAACCCGCACTCTGACGGACGGGGGGAAGGTGGGAAGGACGGTGCCTGCATCTGAAGGATGGGTGGAGGTGGGAAGGAGGTACCTGCACTCTGACGGGACGGGTGAAGGTGGGAAGGACGGTGCCTGCACTCTGAAGGATGGGTGGAGGTGGGAAGGACGGTACCCGCACTTGACGGACGGGTGAAGGTGGGAAGGACGGTGCTGCACTCTGAAGGATGGGGGGTGGGGAAGGACGGTACTGCACTCTGAGGAGGGTGTAGGTGGGAAGGACGGTGCCTGCACTTTTGAAGGACGGGTGAAGGTGGGAAGGACGGTGCCTGCACTCTGACGGACGGGTGTAGGTGGGAAGGACGGTGCCTGCACTCTGAAGGACGGGTATAGGTGGGAAGGACGGTGCCTGCACTCTGAAGGACGGGTGAAGGTGGGAAGGACGGTGCCTGCACTCTGAAGGAGGGGATAGGTGGGAAGGACGGTGCCTGCACTTGAAGGACGGGTGAAGGTGGGAAGGACGGTGCCCGCACTTGAGGACGGGTATAGGTGGGAAGGACGGTGCCTGCACTCTGAAGGACGGGTGAAGGTGGGAAGGACGGTGCCTGCACTCTGAAGGACGGGTATAGGTGGGAAGGACGGTGCCTGCACTCTGAAGGACGGGTGAAGGTGGGAAGGACGGTGCCTGCACTCTGACGGACGGGTGAAGGTGGGAAGGCGGTGCCTGACTTGAGGAGGGTTTAGGTGGGAAGGACGGTGCCTGCACTTGAAGGACGGGTGAAGGGGGGAAAAGGACGGTGCCTGACTTGAAGGAGGGTATAGGTGGGAAGGGGTGCTGCACCTGAAGGACGGGGGAAGGTGGGAAGGACGGTCCCTTTGCACTCTGAAGGAGGGTGAAGGTGGGAAGGACGGTGGCCTGCACTTGAAGGGACGGGTATAGGTGGGAAGGACGGTGCCTGCACTCTGAAGGACGGGTGAAGGTGGGAAGGACGGTGCCTGCACTCTGAAGGACGGGTATAGGTGGGAAGGACGGTGCCTGCACTCTGAAGGACGGGTATAGGTGGGAAGGACGGTGCCTGCATCGAAGGACGGGTATAGGTGGGAAGGACGGTGCCTGCACTCTGAAGGACGGGTGAAGGTGGGAAGGACGGTGCCTGCACTCTGACGGACGGGGTGAGGGGGAAGGACGGTCCCTTTGCATCTAAAGGACGGGTATAGGTGGGAAGGAGGGTGCCTGCACTCTGACGGACGGGTGAAGGTGGGGGAAGGACGGTGCCTGCACTTGAGGACGGGGTATGGGGGGAAAGGGGACGGTGCCTGCACTCTGACGGACGGGTGAAGGTGGGAAGGACGGTGCCTGCACTCTGACGGACGGGTATAGGTGGGAAGGACGGTGCCTGCACTCTGACGGACGGGTATAGGTGGGAGGGACGGTGCCTGCACTCTGAAGGACGGGTGGAGATATGTTGCAGTTTGTGAAGTGTAGTGTTGGTAAGCCTCTAGCAAGAGAGTTATGGAGTAAGTGATGATGAAAGTGTTTCTTCATTTTCAGGTCACCTTCCCTCAGGGGGAGACAACCATTGTTTAATAAACAAATGTAATAAAAATGAAGAAAAATTATTGAACACTATGAAGAATAAAGTTAAAACAAAAAAAAAATTAAAAACACATTAAAAATATATATCAAACCTTCAAATAAAATAAAAAAAATTATATATAAAAATAAAAAGTAAAATATATCTGTAAAAATAATAAATAATTATTGTAAAAACCAAGAAATATAATAAAACTTGAAGCCCAACAAAATTAAAATATAAATAAAAATATACATTGTGTACAAAATATTTAAAATCCAGGTAAAATATAATAAAGTAATACATTATAAACAGTATTTTTATTCAATGATTAAAATTGTGTTGATCTGAGGGAAATAAAAGTTTAAAGATCATTAATATAGAAGGAAATTGAGACAAACTGTGCTGATAGTAGCTTACAGCTATTTTGTTTGACGTCTTCTGCTGACAGCCACACAAAATACCCAGAGCTCACCTGGTGGAGGTGACTGTTCACTGTTCCTTTCTTAATAAGTTTGTTATATACGAGGATGTGACTGAGCATGTCCATCACACAGGCAGGTCATCATATATTAGACCAGGAACTCACCACAGACCTCATAGCATTGTATGCCACAGAGATGGTTCCTGTGGGGTGAAGATTCCTTGAGCTTTTCCTTCATCCTAGGAACTACTTCCTATGAAACGTCATCTCCTGAAACTTCCGCACAATCCACTCTGTCAAACTTTCCCCACAGTCGTATTCATAACTCTTATTGTCTTCCAAAATTTTTAACAGAGAACTCATGACGAAAGCTAAGTTTGGACGCTACTTCTCCTAGTCGTTCTTCATAAGCAGAGCTAGAGATTTTAGGTCTTTTGGGTAACCAAAATACCCCAGCATTTCACAGGTGTGAAGGATAATATCACCTAAAGAATAAACATCAAAACTAGTTGATGCTTTCCCTGGGTAGTGAGACTCAGGAGGGTAGTGGCAGCTTTTTTTCCTGTACATTCTTCGATTGGCTCCCAGGTTCCCAGCTAATCCGAAGTCAATAATATTGACTATAAAATTATAAGGATCATGCTCATTCTGAATCATGACATTATCCATTTTAAGATCTCCATGCAGGAGACCCATGGCGTGAATCTAGCTTAGGCGAATGGTCAACTTAATTAAGGTGAAAAGGCATTTCCTGAGTGAACACTATTCTATGAAATCATTCATGCGTGTGTTACCCCTATAAGACATCACAAGGATGGTAGGATGAATGGACATACATAGTGGGACAGGGGCACCACCAGCACCATCAAGTTGCTTAAGGAAGACCGCTTCTTACATAAACTATGAACTACATGCCTTGTAATTAGCCATCTTGGCGCACACTGTTTGGTACTCGAGGTTAATGCGGAATACAGTGGAGCTTCCTCCACTACCAACTTTCTGCCAGTGATAATGACTGTAGCGGTTTTCAAGTTCGGTGAAGGGAATAATAGAAAATTAATGAAACAACTCTTGTGAAGAAACTGATTCTGGCAGAACGTTCAGCAAAGACAAGCAGCTCTTCTCATCCACATACCTGGCAGCCTTCTCGCCCACACAACTGGTGATCTCCTCAGTTACACACCTGGCAACCTTCTCGGCCTCAAGTCTGGCAGCTTCCAGCTCACGATTGATGGCCTCAAACTCTGCCTCATTCTTCGTGGCCTTAAATTCAGCCTCATGCATAGCGGCCTCCACCTCACGATTGATGACTTCCGACTCAGCCTCATACCTGGCGGCTTCCAACTCAACACCATGCCTGGCGGCCTCCAACTCAGCCTCACGAATGGTGGCCTCCAACTCAGCATCATGCCTGGCGGCCTCCAACTCAGCATCATGCCTGGCGGCCTCCAACTCAGCCTCACGCATGGTGGCCTTCACCTCACGACTGATGGCTTCCAACTCAGCCTCATACCTAGCGGCCTCCAACTCAGCATCATGCCTGGCGGCCTCCAACTCAGCCTCACGCATGGTGGCCTTCACCTCACGACTGATGGCTTCCAACTCAGCCTCATACCTAGCGGCCTCCAACTCAGCATCATGCCTGGCGGCCTCCAACTCAGACTCATGCATGGTAGCCTCCACCTCACGATTGATGGCTTCCAACTCAGCCTCATACCTGGCGGCCTCCAACTCAGCATCATGCCTGGCGGCCTCCAACTCAGCCTCATGCATGGTGGCCTCCACCTCACGAATGATGGCTTCCAACTCAGCCTCATACCTAGCGGCCTCCAACTCAGCATCATGCCTGGCGGCCTCCAACTCAGCCTCATGCATGGTGGCCTCCACCTCACGATTGATGGCTTCCAACTCAGCTTCATACCTGGCGGCCTCCAACTCAGCTTCACGCATGGTGGCCTCCACCTCAATATTACTGGCTTCCAACTGAGCCTCATGCCTGGCGGCATCAATCTCACGATTGGTGGCATCCAACTGAGACCCACGCCTGACGGCCTCAAGTTCATTCTCACGCATGGAAGTCTCCAGCTCAGCCCCATGCCCAAAGACTTCCAGCTCATCCTCACGAAACGAGGCTTCCAGGTCAGCCTCACGCCAGGCAGCCTCCAGCTCAGCCTCACGCCAGGCAGCCTCCAGCTCAGCCTCGCGCCTGGCGGCCTCCAGCTTAGCATCACGCCAGGCGGCCTCCAGCTCAGCCTCGCGCCTGGCGGCCTCCAGCTCAGCGTCACGCCAGCCGGCCTCCAGCTCAGCCTCACGCCTGGCAGCCTCCAACTCAGCCTTACGCATGGAGGTCTGTAGCTCGGCCTCACTCCTCGCAGTCTCCAGCTCGGCCTCACGCCTGGCAGCCTCCAGCTCGGCTTCACGCCTGGAGCCTCCAATGCTGCCTCACGCCTGGCGGTCTCCAGTTCGACCTCACGCCTGGCCGTCTCTAGATCAGCCTCTCGCCTGGCAGCCTCTAACTCAGCCTTAAGCCTGGAGGTCTCCAGCTCATTCTTACGCCTAGAGGTCTCCAGCTCATTCTTACGCCTGGAGGTCTCCAGCTCATTCTTACGCCTAGAGGTCTCCAGCTCATTCTTACGCCTGGAGGTCTCCAGCTCAGCTTTACACCTGGAGATCTCCAGTTCATTCTTACGACTGGAGGTCTCAACCTCATTCTTACGCCTGGACATATCCAGCTCTGCCTTTTGCCTGAATGTCAAGAGCTCAGGTTCATGCCTGGAGGTCTACAGGCCAACACTCTAGGACCACTAAGGTCTAGTGACCACATGCCTGGAGGTCTACAGACCAACACTCTAGGACCACTAAGGTCTAGTGACCACTTCTCGATCTTACGAGACATTTTCTGACTATTTGAGATAATTCATGTTCGTTTATAACTTCATTTTTATAATAAGATTAAGTGCTCACTGAACTTGATTATTAAATAATGATATTCAGTGAAACAGAGCGAGATAGACTCTCATATCATAGTTAAACAATACTAACTTGCTTGGAATACCGACATATATATACCTGTATATATATATAAAATATATATATTATATATATATATATATATATATATATATATATATATATATATATATATATATATATATATATATATATATATATATATAATATATATATATATGTAGACAGAGAGAGAGAGAGAGAGAGAGAGACAGACAGACAGACAGACAGACAGAGAAAAGAAAGACAGAGTGAACTGCATGTGCTATGGTGAATTTCAGTGTATTATAGTGAAGATGTGTGTATCATAGTGAAGATGTTGTGTACTATAGTGAAGATGTGTGTATTATTGTGAAGGTGTGTGTATTATAGTGAAGGTGTGTGTATTATAGTGAAGGTGTGTGTATTATAGTGAAGATGTGTGTATTATAGTGAAGATGTGTGTATTATAGTGAAGATGTGTGTATTATAGTGAAGGTGTGTGTATTATAGTGAAGATGTGTGTATTATAGTGAAGGTGTGTGTATTATAGTGAAGATGTGTGTACTATAGTGAAGATGTGTGTATTATAGTGAAGGTGTGTGTATTATAGTGAAGGTGTGTGTATTATAGTGAAGATGTGTGTATTATAGTGAAGGTGTGTGTATTATAGTGAAGATTGTGTATTATAGTGAAGATGTGTGTATTATAGTGAAGATGTGTGTATTATAGTGAAGGTGTGTGTATTATAGTGAAGATGTGTGTATTATAGTGAAGGTGTGTGTATTATAGTGAAGATGTGTGTATTATAGTGAAGATGTGTGTATCATAGTGAAGATGTGTGTATTATAGTGAAGATGTGTGTATCATAGTGAAGATGTGTGTATTATAGTGAGGATGTGTGTATTATAGTGAAGATGTGTGTATTATAGTGAAGATGTGTGTATTATAGTGCAGATGTGTGTATTAAAGTGAAGATGTGTGTATTATAGTGAAGATGTGTGTATTATAGTGAAGGTGTGTGTATTATAGTGAAGATGTGTGTACTATAGTGAAGATGTGTGTATCATAGTGAAGATGTATGTATTATAGTGAAGATGTGTGTATTATAGTGAAGATGTGTGTATTATAGCGAAGGTGTGTGTATTATAGTGAAGATATGTGTATTATAGTGAAGGTGTGTGTAAATTTTAGTGAAGATGTGTATATTATAGTGAAGATGTGTGTATTATAGTGAAGATGTGTGTATTATAGTGAAGATGTGTGTATTATAGTGAAGATGTGTGTATTATAGTGAAGGTGTGTGTATTATAGTGAAGGTGTGTGTATTATAGTGAAGATGTGTGTATTATAGTGAAGATGTGTGTATTATAGTGAAGATGTGTGTATTATAGTGAAGATGTGTGTATTATAGTGAAGATATTGTGTATTATAGTGAAGGTGTGTGTATTATAGTGAAGATGTGTGTATATAGTGAAGGTGTGTGTATTATAGTGAAGATGTGTGTATTATAGTGAAGGTGTGTGTATTATAGTGAAGATGTGTGTATTATAGTGAAGATATGTCTATTATAGTGAAGATATGTGTATTATAGTGAAGATGTGTGTATTATAGTGAAGATATGTCTATTATAGTGAAAATATGTGTATTATAGTGAAGATGTGTGTATTATAGTGAAGATGTGGTGTATTATAGTGAAGATGTGTGTATTATAGTGTAGTGTGTGTATTATAGTGAAGGTTTGTGTATTATATGAAGGTGTGTGTATTATAGTGAAGATGTGTGATTATAGTGAAAGGTGTGTGTTTATATGAAGGTGTGTGTATTATAGTGAAGATGTATGTATTATATTGAAGATGTGTGTATTATAGTGAAAATGTGTGTATTATAGTGAAGATGTGTGTATTATAGCGTATTATATAGTGTATTATTACTGGTCCTCATATTGTAACCACTTAGTAAGATTCCTGAAGTCTCGCATATCAAGGAGATCAACAACGTGAACAGCAGCAGGGGATCGATGAAGAGCTTCTTTCGCAAGTCTGATAAGACTTTCCTCAGAAGGAGGACCTTCAACTAGAGCATTAACACGAGAACGAATGGCAGTAAACCATGCTTCAAGACTATGTACATGGCCATTGAATAAAGGTAACACATCAAGGGAATCACGAGTAAAACTGTAGTATCTCAGTGTCTGGGTCGGTCTGTCAGTCGCTAAGGAACTGTGAGGACTGATGACAGCAGCAGCAGTAGCCTGAGAGGTCTGAGTGTCGACATTCACTAAAGTATCACTTGACGGTATGTGAGACATAATGGCAAAGAAGTTGCACAAGAACAAATAAGGCAAAAATAATGAACAATAAAAATGATACAAAATGCTAAAATTAAAATAAAAGAGATGCAACTAATTCTGCAGAAGTAATAAAAAAATGTTTAAGATACACTGCAAGAGGAAGGACAACTCAATGTAAAGGACTGCTGGACAAGATAAAAAAAATACATTGAAACTTACAAGTAAAAATATATTACTGGAGACTGAATTAAATGCAAAATGAGCTGTCTGTACTCTTGCTAATAAAGAAATTAACTAATAAAATTGTAAATTAATGTAAAAAGTATAAAATAAAATCACTAAATTGTATGCAACGAGAGATAACTGGGAAATTTAAATATTTTCTAAGAATGCATAAAAATAACAATAAAAGAAAATAATTCACTGCAGAACAAGTGCAACAAAATAAGGCGCAGAAATAATCACTGCAGCAATAAAGTTACACTGGAAAAATGTAGGTTAAATAATAAAATAAAAATATAAAGAAAAACTGATTGAACACTTTAACTCTTAATTGTAAATTAGGCAAAACAATTTACTCAGAGTAAAGAAAACACTTTACGTTAAAAAAAAGAATTTGAAATTACACTAAGAGTGAATTTGCTCAAAGAAATATGAAAAATATGAATAAAAATAAAACGAAACCAAAACTGGAAGTGTAACACTTACAAGTGGCTGGGCACACAACACTTACAAGTGGCGTGGGCACACAACACTTACAAGTGGCGGGGCACACAACACTTACAAATGGCGGGGAACACAACACTTACAAGTGGCGGGGCACACAACACTTACAAGTGGCGGGGCACACAACACTTACAAGTGGCGGGGCACACAACACTTACAAGTGGCGGGGCACACAACACTTACAAGTGGCGGGGCACACAACACTTACAAGTGGCGGGGCACACAACACTTACAAGTGGCGGGGCACACACAACATATTCACTTATTCATTTTTTTTTAGTATATTCTTACAACAAAATCTTGCTGTGACTGATACGACAAAAATTGCTGGCAAAAATAATGGTACACAAGTCTGCGAAAAGATCAGAGAATGAGACACTGCTGGTGTACGAAAAAATGATACACAGAAATAAATGGATAATTTGGTAGACGACAAATACTGGAGAATACAATGCTGAAAGAATACAAAAAAAATTAATGAATTACTTCACACGGAGTGACTGATTGGTAAACTACAGAATAATACTTACTACAGACAGAGAGTAGCATAAAAAAAACACAGATAAAAATTATGAGATGAGCGATAACACTGAAAAATATTGCAAAAATAATGAGTCAAAGAAACACTGAGTCTACACTGAAAACACAAAGCTTAGAGTACACAAGAAATTCACTGTAAATGTCTCACACACGCAAATGTCTTGAAATAAATGCACGGAGTAGAAATGACTACTAGAATAATTGTCACTGACAGTCTGGACGCTAAAGTATAAGAACTAAGATATGAAGGAGGTGATCACTGTAGACCGGTGAATACAGCGCAGTCCTACAACTCACTACAAAATTGTCAGTCGGAAGGGATACACCACCCACTCTTCACCACCCACTCTTACAATACCTACCCTCACACCACCCACTCTCACACCATCCACTTTCACCACTCACTCTCACACCACCAATTCTCATGCCTCTCACTCTCCAACCACTCAATCTCACACCACCCACTTTCACATCACCCACCACCCACTCTAGCACCACCCACTCTCTCTACATCCACTCTCGCACCGCCCAGTCTCTCACCACCCACTCTCTCATAACCCACTCACGCATTCCCACACTGTCAGACCTCCCACTCTCACATGACCCACTCACATATCTCACACCCTCCCACCTCCAAGTTTCACGCCATCCACTCTTTCACCACCCACTCTCACCTACCCACTCTCACTCAACATCTCTTTCACAACCCAATCTTACACCACCCACTCTCCCACCACTCACTCTCAAACTACCCACTCTCAACCACCCACTCTCGCACCACTCTCTCTCACACCACCCACTCTCACACCACCCACTCTCACAACACCCACTCTCACACCACCCACTCTCTCACCACCCACTCTCACACCACCCACTCTCAAAACACCCACTCTCACACTACCCACTCTCGCACCACCCACTCTCTCACAACCCTCTCACGCTCCCTTACTGTCAGACCTCCCATTCTCACATGACCCAATCACATACCACCCACTCTCCCATCTCCCACTCTCACATCACCCACTTTTTCACCACCCACTCTCACCTACCCACTCTCACTCAACCCTCTCTTTCACAACCCATTCTTACACCACCCACTCTCCCACCACTCACTCTCACTACACCCACTCTCACACCACCCACTCTCACACCACCCCACTCTCACACCACCCACTCTCACCACGCACTCACACACCAC